AATTTACACAGTTTGAAAATTGAACAAAAAAAAATCCCAAGATTTTCAAGTGAAAATTTGTGCAATTTTGCCTATGCATTCCTGGTGAGCACCAAGATGTAACTCCAAATTTGTTGCTCAAAATCAAAACTAAAAAAGTAAACACATTCCCTGCCATATTTAAGATTTGTTCATGACTTGTATTCATAAAGTGTTGTGTAAATGTGATAAAAAGCTGTTGATTCTTACCTCATACAGTGATAGTGAATATTTATTATGCATACAATTTATTATGCCTAACCGTGCTTTATTATCCAAGACAAAACGTGAATTATCAATATGAATATAAAACGCAACTCAAAACAAATAAATGTTATCATGCTGTTGCTACAAATGCATACCAAATAAAATTGAAACTATCATCCTCGTATATTTGAATAAAAAAAGTATATACCTCGGAGTGTACCTGTCTATCGGCGAGGGGCGTCAGTGGAGCAGATTTCGTTGCTTGGTTCAGCCAAAGTAAGTACCCCAGCGTGTAACGTCTTTAGTTGTATCCGCTGACTAAGTTTGTTTGAAAAATGCCGATCCCAAAGAATAATTGCTCCGTCGAATGGCGATTTTGTCGGCATGTTTTTTCACTTTTGTTGCATGATCTGTCAGTGCCACGCATCCACGTTAATTAAGTCACTACAGTACACACAATAATCTTTGCCTGCTACGTCTGGTTTCTTCAAAAATTGTCCAAGAGCTTCTGTAACTTCGTCGAACTTGGAACCAATTTTAACCTTTACAGTGACTTTTCTGTCAAGCCAGTCCAATCGGAATTTATTCTTGACATTTGAGTCAATTTCTAGGATTAAAGACTCCTGATCTTTCGTCAAAAATGTCATAATTCCGCTCAAAACGATCCCAGAACAATGAATTTGCGAGACGAACAGGCCGCCATGAATCAGGTAAAACAATATGTTACATGCAATTTGATTGGTCCAATCGCTTGTAGTTAACCAATCGCTGGGCCGTTTATAATCGAGCTAAGACTTCCGCAACAAATAATGCCTTCAGTGATCTGATTAGTTGAAGCTTTCATACACGTCCAATCGCAGGGCTGTTTACAAACGGAAAACGGAGAGACTGTTCGGGAGAGCTCGTGAAAACTCGACGATAAGGTACCTGACCGCCCCTAAAATTTTCTCAACGGATTTAGACGATTCACAAAAATGATCAATTTAAGAAATAAAACGGCGGATTTCCGCGGATCCGCGGAAAATTGCCATGTATGCCCTACATCCCCATCAACTTCGGAACAGGCCATGGGCTACCTGTCATTTGCGATCGACGTATTGGGCACCCCTGCCATAAATTGTCTGGAGTCGTCAGACAAAGAAAACAAGGACAAACACATGCATATTCATGGTGGTTCTAAAAAAAGTAATTTGATCCTTACCTCAGAGGTAGACAGAAGGTAAATTGGACTTGGTGATGGGGTTTGTGTTTGCTGGCAACTCAGGCCAAGAGAGGTGAGGATTTCTGCTAGGACTTGATAATGTAGCATATTATTGGCCTTTAAACCATCAAAGCCTTCATTTGTCACGTTCTGGAAATCTGGAGTGTTTTCCAGGTGGATCTGCCAACAGAAAACATATAGCAAGGATTGACACAAGGATTGCCTTACTGTCAACTGCCCAACAAGGGAAAATAACACAAAATTGGTTTGATTCAAAGGTGAAAGACAATACCCCTCCGTGAGCCATCATCTTACTGTGGTGGAGGGGTTTGTGTGTCCTAATGATCCTAGGAGCGATGTTGTCTGGGGCTTTATGCCCCTGGCAGGGTCACCCTTGGCAAAGGAGGTCCTAGGTGAGGGACCAGACAAAGCACATCCAAAAGACCCCTTATGACAAGAAAAATATATGGTCCTCAGTGTCCAATGCCCGGATGCGGGTCACCGGTGCCCCTCTCTGGAGCCAGGCCTGGAGGTAGGACTAGAGAAGCTCCGACTGGATATAGTCGGATTTGCCTCCACAAACAGCCTGGGCTCTGGTACCAGCTCTCTCGAGAGGGGCTAGACTCTCTTCTACTCTGGAGTAGTCCATGGAGAGAGGCATAGAGCAGGTGTGGGCATACTCGTTGCCCCCCGGCTTAGTTCCTGTACATTGGGGTTCATATTAGTGGACGAGAGGGCTCCCTCCCTCCGCCTTCGGGTGGGGGTGGCTTTCTGGACCTCTGTTTGTGCCCATGCACCAAACAGCAGCTCAGAGTATCTACCCTTTCTGCAGTCCTTGGAGGGTGTGCTGGAGAGTGCTTCCGCTAGGGACTCCCTTGTTCTGCTGGTGAACTTCAATGCTCACGTGGGCAATGAGAGTGAGACCTGGAAGGGTGTGATTGGGAGAAACGGCCCTCAAGATCAGAACTCGAGTGGTGTAATGTTGTTGGAGCTCTGTGCTCGTCACAGATTGTCCATAACAAACACCATGTTCAAACATCAGGGTGTCCCAAAAGTGGACTTGGCACCAGGGGACCCTTGGCCGCAGTTCGCTGATTGACTTTTTGGTTGTATCATTCGATTTGCAGCCGCATGTTTTGGACACTCGGGTGAAGAGAGGGGCGGAGCTGTCAACTGACTGGTGGTGAGTTGGCTTCGATGGTGGGGGAGAGTTGCCAGTCAAAGCTGGCAAACACAAACGTATTGTGAGGGTTTGTTGGGAGCGTCTATCGCGGGATCCCCTGTCAGGAGTTTCAACTCTCACCTCAGGCAAAGCTTTTCTAACGTCCCGGGGAGGCGGGGGACATTAAGTCCGAGTGGACCATGTTCCGTGCCTCTTTTGTTTAGGCGGGCAATCTGAGCTGTGGCCATAAGGTAGTCGGTGCCTGTCATGGCGATAACCCCGAACTTGAATTTGTTAATGCAGTGCACAAAAAGAAACATGCAATTGGAATATTCATTGACCTCAAAAAAGCATTTGATATCATAAATCACCCACTTTTACTCAAACTGGAGAAGTATGGGATCAGTGGAATAGCTGGAAATTACATAATTATTTAACAGAACAAACTCAATATGCAAATACAGGTGAACATTTCTCTGATAAATTTGGTGTTGCTTGGGGTGTCCTTCAGGGATCGGTGCTTGGTCCCCAGCTGTTTAACTAAACATAAAAGAACCTATTTAATGCATTGAAAGTTTTAAAACTAATATTGTTTGCAGATGAAACAAACATTCAATCGTAGTGACAAATATAACAAACTCCTGAGTACAGCAAATACAGAACTCAATAAAATTAAAAAGTGGATGGATCATAAATTAATTTTAAATGTAAATAAAACAAAATTATTGATATTTGGTGACTATACAAGTAACCCAGAATTGATAATACACAGACGGTGTACAACAAAAAAATGTTCATGAATCTAAATTCTTGGGAGTAATAATTGACAACAAATTGTCATGGATTGCCAACATCAGACTGATAAGAATAAACATTTCCAAAACATTTTCTCTCATTAATGAATAAAGCAAAGTAATCCCTACATTATGATGCTCTCAGAATATTATATTGTTCTTTAGCCCTCCCAAATCTGACATATTGTGTTGAAATATGGATATTGAATACGTTTTCTTCTTCCCACTCCTTTTTTGAGCAGCACATTTACAGCAATTGCAAATGGTGACATAGTGATGTCTCTTTTTTTTCCTGTTTGTTTGTATTTATATATCACACGGTTGTTTGACGTTTCAGAAAAATGTGATGTTTGTGCTGGCCTGCCCTCCCCCCAATAAAAACAACAAA